GGCCGGGAGCGGCCACTGTACTCCAGTCTGGATGACAGAGTGAGACACCAATTACAAAAAAAAAAAAGTAAGGTCTTGCTTCTATCCTCAAATTAACAGTATTTTACTAAACTGAAATACTTTTCTGCAAATAATCATCTCTGAGAGAATGGTCATTTTGTGTAAGTATATCTTTCAACAAAATAATAATAATAATAATAATTTTTGAGTTGAAGTCTCACTCAGTTGCTGAGGCTGGAGTGCAGTGGCATGCTCATGGCCACCGCAGCCTTGATCTGCCGGGCTCAGGCAATCCTTCCACCTCAGCCTTCCAAGTAGCTGGAACTACAAGTGCATGCTACCACGCCCTGCTTATTTTTTGATTTATTGTAGAGACGAGGTCTCATCAGGCCGCCCAGGCTGGCCTTGAACCTCTAGGCTCAGACAGTCCTCTTGCTTTGGCTTCCCAAAGTGCTGGGATTACAGGCTTGTGCCACTGTGCCCAGCCTAACAAAATTATTAAAGGAACTTTTTTGGAGGCAAAATCAGAAAACTGATTCATCTAGAAAGAAAGAGCAGAACAGTAATCAAATGTTGACACTCCTGTGATGTTCTATATATGTGGTTTTTGAAAGTAATAAATGATCAACAACTTGCCAGAAATGGAACAAATGGAAATGTTGACTAAAAATACCTACTAAAACAGCTGTAAAACACTTTTTCTTTGTACTTTACATTTGTACTGTGTTTGAGGCTAAGAAATGACTATAATAAACCGCTTACAGTCTTGCCTTTTAAAAACTGACTGTCATTATCTCAAATTGTAGGGTGCTGGTATAGAAATATATCCTGGGAGTATGTGTACCCTGAGTGACAATGGGATCCATCACTGCAGGGATGGGGTCCTCATTAAGGTGAGCATCAGCAGAAGCACTCTGTTTCTAATGATTTCATCTAAGAAATTATGTTTTCTTAAACTCCCATTTGGGGTTCTATTGTTTTCTGTCTTTGAAAAACATTAAAAATATATAAATTGTAATAATATCAGTAGTTAGTGATTGAAGGTCTCTTGTGAGAATGCATTGTTGTTATAAGTCTGCAGAAATGACAGGAATGCTGTGTCACTCCGAACTCAGGCTATGCTACAACATATTTATAAACACAACTTTTCTAGTTTATTTGTAGAATAATGTGAAAAAAAGTCAAGATTTTTAAAGCAGGCAATGTTGAATATGACAGTTTCTTAAAACATTTGTTTTCAATGGCATAGGACTTCTTAGATGAACATTATGACATTCCCAAGATATCCATGGTAAATAATATTATACATAATAATGAAGGCTATGGCGTTGTCTTGGTGAAACCAACAATTTTCTCTGACCTGCAAGAAAATGCCCAAGATGAAACTGAAGGTATGCTATATTTAATTTTTAAATATAAAAATCAGATCTAATTTACTTACTTTCAGCAATTAAACTCTGATTAAGAATCTGAATTTTCCTCCCCTCTTTAAAAAAGATTGCTAGAATGTGCTTGGGCATGGAGCGAAGCTTGGTAAAGCTATAACATTGTAGAATCTCAGGATGAAAAACTTTTAAGGTCAACTAGTTCAACTGTTCATTCAGAACCTTGATGTTGTGGTTTCTGTGGTCCAGCAGTTCCCTGGCATTGAAATAAATGTGCCAGTGTGTGTTTACTGGAGGGGATAGTGGAGTTTGTCTCTGTTTTTTATTGGTAGAAGTAAATATCTCCTTACCACCTACTTTTCTTAGCAGCAAAGGTGAGCTAACTCAGTGGGAATTCGTGAACTTCATGCCGTGATGCAAATCACTATTAAATCTTAGTCATAGAGAAGGATTAAGCATTGATGTGGATGAGGAAAGTTTAAAGCAGTTTGCTTGTTTATTTATTTCATTAACTTCTCAGGTTGAGAAAGGAGTTTAAGGTGTAGTTCTTGTCATCCTTCAGGATCTGCTCTGTGAATTTTTTATTTCCTCACAGTTCTCAAAAAGGTGAAACTGAGGTTTCAGCCAGGCAGGACTCTTATCTGAAAGCTCTGGTGGAGGAATCTGCTTTCAAACTCATTCATGTAATTTACTGGCAGAATTCGTCCCTTTAGGTCACAGGACTGTGATCTTTGTTTTCTTGCTGGCTGTTGGCTGGGGCTTGCACTCAGCTCCTAATGGCTGCTCTCAGTCCTTGACTCATGGCCCCTCTATCTCAATGACAGAGAATCGCTGTCAAGGCAAATCTCTCATGCTTTGAGTCTCTTCAACTTGTTCTTTTGCAACTAGCTGGAGAAAATGGATCCATAATCTTAATTACATTGCAAAATTATAATGCAAAAGCATTTTGCTGTTTAACAGTCATGAAAGTAGTACTAGTGAGTGGGGATCATGGTGCCCATCTAGAATTAGCTGCTACATTGGGGGTTCATTTAAGAAAAGTAGCATTGTCTCATTAATCTTTCTGTCCTAGCTCTTAGCAACAGTGCTTAGCATCAGATAGTAAATATCCAGGAAATGTCTATGGAGTAAATGAGGTTCTAGGATGAAAAGGGTATAAAGAGTTCAAAATTGGTGATCTTGTGTAAGTGTCAGGAAACCTTGACATAAAAGGCAAGACAGCTGCTCATTGAGATTCTTATGGTAAAGAATTTGTAAAATCCAGTTAGACAGCAGGAATCCTTGGCAGAAAAAGCTTGAAAGCTCAAAAGACTGTGTAGAAATATGTTTTACTTGGATTAGCGTGTATATTTAACCTTATTTGTTATAATTTATTTGTTTCTCCAGAAAACAAAGCACTTAAAATTCAAACAAGTGGAGAGACAGATGCAACTGAAAGAGTGGATCTAGAAGAGCTGATTCAATGTGCAACTGATAAAATGGAGCTTTATGCAAGATCTGACCTTTCTGATCAAGTAGAGGGAAATTGTGAAATTGTAAATGAACTAGTTGCTATCTCCACTCAGAAAGGCCAGATGAAGAAGAAAAGGTTGAGTGAACTAGGTATCACACAAGCTGATGACAACCTAATGTCACAGGAGATATTTGTTGGAATTGTGGGGAATCAGTTCAAGTGGAATGGGAAAGGGAGTTTTGGCACATTTCTTTTCTGACCACAGTGTAAATAGATCACAAAATATTGGATTTTGCACATGCTGCCCTGAGAATCACAGTCATTGTAGTTTGCTTTTTTTCTTTATATTTGATATATTGATTGGGCTTGAATTAAATGTAGATTTATTTCTATTTGCAGGTGTTGCACATAAAACACTCCCTCTTTATAAGAAAGATCGTAGAAACATATAAAACAGAGACTATTTGGAGATATATTGTCTGAAAGTCTTGCTTTCTTAAACACATAGTTCTCTCACATTAAGCCTTTTACAAACCTAGTGTAATTACACTTTAATCCAGCACTTCAGAGAGGAGGAAGAAATGAAAAGAAAGAGGAGGGAATGCAAGATGAGTGAATAAAAATGCAATAGGTACCACATGTGCAGTATTCTTCTTAGGGTTGTTTTTCATCACAATTACAGCAAGTCTGATTTCCATGCAAGTGTTTGTGTAATACTTGTCTTAAAATAAGAGCTTTAATGATTGGGACGTTGTCTGCCTAATCTCACTTACTGAGAATCTGAGTGGGATGTATTTTTTTTTTTTTGAGTTGGAGTCTCACTCAGTCGCCCAGGCTGTAGTGCAGTGGCACGTTCACGGCCACCCCAGCGTCAACCTGATGGGCTCTGGCCATCCTTCCACCTCAGCCTTCCAAGCAGCCGGAACTACAGGTGTGCACTACCATGCCTGGCTAATTTTTTGTTTTTTGTAGAGACGAGGTCTCACCAAGTTGCCCCGGCTGGTCTTGAACCCGTGGGCTCAGGCAATCCACTTGCTGGGATTACAGGCTAAGCCATTGAGCCTGGCCAGGATGCATTTTTATGTTGAACTGTGCAATCATCAAAACAACAATAGATAGCATAGCAGGTCTGAAACAGAAATGAAATGTGTTGTTCAGAGCTGATGTGTATTTACAGCATTTTCACTATTGCTGAATGTGAATTATTAAAAAGAAGATATTTTTCTTTAACTGTATTCTGACCATATTTCTTACACAGTCAAAATGACAACCTACTATGTGATCTTGATATTATATGTGACATTAATATGCTTACTGATTAAAATTATAGTGATGAAATCATAACATTAAATCTCGTTATGTTTTTTTCAAACCCACTATGGGTCATAGTGTGTCATTGTAACATAATGTGATCCTTTGAAGAATGCACAATATTTTGGTATCTTTTTAGTGTTTCAGAAAGACACATTTTTCCCCAAATGTGGTTATGTTTGTTTCTTAAGTTTGAAAAAATAATAGTTCTTACCTTTCAGATACTACTAAATGTGGAAGGAGTTATGCTAGATTTTTCTTAAACATTGATTTATGTTAAGGTATTTCACTTATTATTATTATTTTTTTTTAGTAGGCGTCTCATTCTGTTGCCCAGACTGGAGTGCAGTGGCACGCTCATAGCCACTGCAGCCTCGACCTGCTGGGCTCAGGTGATCCTTCCACCTCAGTCTTCCAAGTTGCTGGAACCACAGGCACTTGCCAACACACTTGGCTAACTTTTTAATTTATTGTAGAGACAAGGTCTCGCCAAGTTGCCCAGGCTGGTCTTGAACCCCTGGACTCAGGAAATCCTCTCACCTCCACCTCCCAAAGTGCTAGAATTACAGACATGAGCCACTGCACCTGCCAGATAGCAGAGTTTTTAAAAGTACTGCCTATGAATTCTGCATCAGCTGCAGCCAAATATTGATTTAAAACCATTTATTCAACTTTTAAAAAATCAAACTGGTTTTTCAATTGAATTTCCACTTTATCTTAGAATTTATATTTTGTCTTTTGTAGCTTGCTAGAATATTAAGGCAGTGATATGTAGCTAGGAGTAAAATAATACCTTCCTTGTTCCTTTTATAGCTTAACAGTTTTTTAGATTTTATTTCTGTTTTAGTTTAAATCTAAACTTACATTAATTTTTATTCATGTGATCAGTTATTAGTAAATATGCCTAATGTGCTCTTATTTATGTAGAGTATGTTTTGAGAGGTAAACATGTTAGTTGACATAGATAGAGGGAGCATAGCGAGAGCCCTGGAAGGATATAGATTTCTTTCTTTCTTTCTTTCTTTTTTGAGTCTGAGTCTCACTCTATCACCCAGGCTAGAGTGCAGTGACATGCTCACAGCCACTGCAGTCTCGACCTTCTGGGTTCAGGCAATCCTGCCTCAGGCTTTCAATAGCTGGAACTATAGGCACACACTGCCACACCTGGTTAATTTTTAAATTTCTTATAGAGACGAGGTCTCATCAAGTTGCCCAGGCTGGTCTCGAACCTGGGGGCTCAGGCAGTCCTCTTACCTCAGCCTCCAAAAGTAATGGGATTACAGGCTTAAGCCACCATGCCTGGCTGGGATATGGATTTTACATTTGGGGTGCAAACACTGAAACACTGACATGGAAAAAGGACGATCTTCCATGTTGATTGAGTTACTATGCGTCCTGTTCTTATGGTCCATTCTGCAAAATTCTGTGCCTCCATTTGGGTATTTTTTAAAAGTTTGAGCTTCTTTAGAAATATCTCCCTTCTTTAGTTTCTTGTTATATTATTGCATCACAGATATAAACATGACTGTATTTTCAAAAACTGCCCAGAGATTTCAAGTGTATAGACTCCACTTTTCTAGATTTGGCTTTTTGGAAGGAGATTGAAGAAAAGTTATATATAAAACACAAATGAACACTTAGAAGTAATGCCAAAATTATATTATTTATATTAATTATAATTTGATTTTGCCGTTACTATTTTTATTCCTTTTTAGGAAAAATATTCCACAGGCTTCTATGGAAATTAAGTTTGATGCTAAATTTTATGCATAGCATTTAATTTTCTAACATTTTATTTTCTGTGATTTTAAATATTGTTTGTATATGTAATTTTTAAAAGTCCTATATTTGTTAAAGTGAACATTCGCCTCTTTTCCCAGTTCTATTAATAGAAAAATATATACATTTTAAAAACAAAACCGGCATAATGTAATAATGCTCTGAAGACTTTATACTGTTTTCCCCTGATATACTATGTGTACATACAGATCTACCTCATTCTTCTGATGGTTGTGTTATTCTCTGTTGCCAGAATTCTTTCAGTTGTGAGTGACAGGCTTTATGAGAGCTGGTTCTTGGAACTAGGAAGTCTAAGGAAGATAGCTGATTTTTGGAACCATCTTTTTAGTTCTGCCTTCCCTGTGTTGACTTCATTCTCAGATTGGCCTTTACCAAGTAGGCAAAGGTGGCCTTCAGCAGCCCCAGTTTTTATGGACTCAAAAGGAGAGAGAGACCCCTTTCTTTTAGCATCTGCTCATCTGCTTGTCCCTGCCTGTATTTTGTGCTTGTTCTTTGACCAGTCACTATAAACCAGAGGAATGGAGTCATATGTTCCCATTGAATCACATTTCTATCCTTGTGACTATAGGGAGTGGAGCCTTGTGAATGACTTCCTCTAGGTGATGGAAGGGCAGTTCTAGAAGAAAAAGAGGGTGTCTTACTAGAACAAAGTGGAAGTACTGCTTTGCAGGCCAAACCATAGATGTCTGCTACATATTGATGAGTTATAACATAACCTATTCCTTGTATTGATGGACATTCAAGTTTCCAGTTTTTCATTATTACGAATAGTTACATTAAAAAGGATGCAAAATGTAATATTTTGTGTCTTCTCTAAGAATTTCTATTGTTGGATTATGGAATGAAGACTTTTTGGGTTTGAGGGTTGTGGATTTAAAATTTTGATAGCTATTGCCAGACTGTCCTCTAAAAAAAGGTGCTGGTTTATACTCCTACCAACAGTGTATGGAGGTGACAATAACACTGAATATTGTCAATTTAAAAAAATGCTTCTCTGAATGAAAAAACATTTTAATTTGTATTTATTTGATTGCTATTATTTTGTTTATTTCATCATTTACTATATTTTCACATATTTTTCTGAAAATTGCCTGTTCATATCCTTTGCCTGTTCTATTGGGTTGTTTAACTCTGTTGTTGTTTGGTAGGAGTGTTATATAGTGTGACTTTTGATCCTTTAATTTTAAAAATATATATATGTATCACTTTTTATATATAAAATTATGTGTGTAACATACTCATTATTGTACTTATAAGTATATTGTACTTGTAGGTATAAGTATACTTTTAAGTATGAAATATGTACAATGAAGTTCTTTGCTAACTTGCTGCTTGATTCTTTTTTTTTTTTTTACATTTTTTTTTCTTTATTTTGAAGATGTGGAGTACAATTCAGGGTTAGGTATACAGATGTTCATTATGCAGGTCCCCTTGCTGATGAGGTGTACCCCTCCCTCCCCTGGCAGTTTCCCTCAACTGCCAATCCCACCACCCCCTGGCAGTTTCCCATTACTGCCAATCCCTTTCTTATAGTATTATGATAATTGTTCAAGGTTCACTTATGAGTGAGAATATATGGTACTCTGTTGTTTTTGTGATAGATCACTGAGTATGATAGACTCTAAATCCATCCAAGTTGCTGTGAAGTCCATATGTTGCATGATTCTAAATTATCTATGTTAGTTCTTACCTTGTAAGCATTTTGCAGAGTGAGAAGTTATTCATATTCCTTGAAAAATAGTTAAATAAATTTGCTCCTTGTTCCAAATTTAGAAAAACTCCTTGTTTTCTAAGTGCTAAAATTAACTATAGTCATCTGTTTTAGGTCAAGGAATAAAGCACTTTGAGAGAGATTTAAGTTAGAAGGCATTTATTGGTTGCAGTTAGAGACTTGCTGCCCTGAGTTGTTCAGTGCAATAAGATTATTATGGCCAGCACTTTATGCTAACTTGCTAGATGTGTCCAAATTATCTGCATTAGTGTTCTCTATGTAAGCATTTAGCAGAGGAAGATGTTACCAAGTTTTCTTTGGCAAATACTTGGGCAAACATTTTTCTTGTTCCAAATATAGAAATCCTACATGCACACCAAGGGCTAAAATGTGCTGTAATTATTTGTTTTAGTTCATGGAAAGAAGGACTTTGAGAGAGATTTGAATTAGAAAGTATTTTTTCATTGCAGTTACAGAGACATGCCGCATTGTGTTCATATTCAGTGAAGTAAGTTTATAGTGGCCTATTCCTGCATAGAACGAGTTTGTATGCTGACATGCTGAATACATCTAAATTATCTACATTAGTGCATACTTTGCATGCATTTGGCAGCATAGATCACTTTCACATATAGTAAAAAAAATGT